ATATATATATATATATATCCATGTATTCCTATTTTGTTTGATAAGTGTTTATATATTAGTAGATAATAATCCTACACGATTTTATATATTGTAAATTAAGACAAATATTGGTATTAGAGGAAAATTTGGAATCAAATTGATCAAAAACATGAAAAGATGCAATTTTGGCCTCTAGCGCCAGGATGGGCGCTGACGGCTCCCGCGGACAGACCAAAGCGCCGACAACGCCATCTGGAGGACCGACGACGCCGATAGTAGTTTGACGGTTTAGGATGAATTTTGGCAGACTTTGGCGAGATTTCGCTCCGGAAAAATCGTCAGGAGGTGTTTTTAAAGTCCTAAAAACTGCCTTGGTCAACCAAGAAATTCCTATTTTCAAATTTCATGGCCTCCAATTCCAGAAATATTCTAGGTATGAAGTTTTCAATAGAAGAAAGTTTATCAGTTTTTACGTGCAAAGATTATATGACAATGTTATTACAAAGAAGAGGCTTATTAAGGAGAGAGGCTTTGTCAATCAAGAATTGATTAATCCAAATTCTCTGATTGATAAAATTATTGTACAAAGGCGATGGGAAGTTCTATGCTAATGCTGCAGTTGTTGTACCAGTAGTGAAGGAATTCTATGCAAACTTTCATGAAATTACCCAAGGAGTTGTCTTCATATGAGGTAAGGCTGTACCATTTAAATCAATGAGTTGTATATGATAGAAAGTGTTCCAATCTGTCATCATACAAATTTTATCCCTACTAGAGATTTAATGCAAGATGTCCGTAATTTTCTGACAAATGAACGTGATATTTGTGAAGGATATGTTATTTTCTCTGCTTCTTTGCTTAATCCAATATCGAAGCAGTGGAATTTCTTCATTTCTGCAAAATTACTCCCTACCATGAAGATTAGTAGAGTCGCCAAAGAAAGTGCTATTTTGAACTATTGCATTCAAATGGAAAAACCCATTGATATTGGATCTATCATATTTAAATCTGCTATGGGTATTATTATGAATAGGACAATTTATGGACTTGGACATCCTTCCAAAATTTTCCTACTTTATAGTCAATCTCAGTTCCATATAAAATTTGGAAAAAAAGTTTTATTATCTTGGGAGCCCATGATTCCTATTGATGATAATTATGTTGGGAATGGGAATGAAGAATTAGATACTATTTTAGATCACTCATCACATGCTTCAACTCCATTGATGCCACCAACTGTTGGAAGTTCACTTGTTGTAGAAAAGAAATTGAAGAAAATTGAAAGAGAACTTTAAAGTATTACAAATGTAATAGAAGACCTTATGTACCTTTTTGATCACCTAGATTGGAGGATGAAAGAGAATTTTGATCATACTGGAACATTTGAAGCAGGATTAGTGCAGATGTTTAAAGAAAAATGATTGATCAAAGAAAATTTGACTGATCAATTCTCGTACTGACCTTTCTACAATTTGTACGTTCATTACCAGTCTATAGGAGATATTAAAGGAGGAGAAAGCACTGAAGATGAGGCAGAATAATTGAAGAATTTAGACTCTCTCTACTAGTTTAAAATACTTATGTACTTAATGTGATTGTGTGGATTTGATTTAGTTTTTTGCTTTAGAATTCAAAACTTTGATTGTGTGTATAGTTTTGTGTTAGCTCTTAGTGTTGTGACTTGATTTAAACGCTAATTTATAATTTAGTTTGCTTAATATGTGTGAA